TATATTTATGGGTATTTTGTCTGCATATATATCTGTGTACCCACCTGTGTGCCTGGTGGCCACAAAGAAAGCCACAAAAGAGGACTTTGGATCCCCTCGACTGGGGTTATGGATGGTTGTGAGCTGCTATATGGGAGCTAGGAATTGAACCCAGGTCCTCTAAGAATGCAGCCAGTGCTCTTAACCACTGAACCATCTCTCCAACCCCTTTTTCTATTGCATAATTTAATTTAAAAAGCCATTTTCTTGTTGGGTGTGGTGGCTCACACCTTTAATCCCAGCATTCAGGAGGCAGAAGCAGGTTTCCAGGCTACCCTAGTCTACACAGCAAATTCAGAACAACCAGGGTTACATAGAGATACACTGTCTCAAAAGGACAAAAAACAAAAAAAAACCCCACAAAAACCAAAAAACAGACAGACAAAACCCAAGAACAAGCAAACAACTCAAAAGGCAGTTGTCTTGGCAAGCTTTTGGCTAGATCTTCAGTAATACCACCATACTTGCTGTCTTAGGGCTTTTACTGCTGTGACAAAACACCCTGACTAAAGAGGAAGTTGGGAGGAAGGGTTTATTAGGCTTCACTTCAGCATGGCTGTTCATCACGGAAGGAAGTCAGGACAGGAACTCAAACAGACAGAAGCTGGTACTGAGGTGGTGGAGGGGAGCTGCTTAGTGGCTTGTTTCCCATGACTTGCTCAGACTGCTTTCTTATAGAACCCAGGACCACCAGCCCAGGGATGGCCCCACCCACTGTGGGCAAGGCACTTCCCCATTGATCACTAAATGAGAAAATGCCTTACAGCTGAATCTCATGGAGGCGTTTCCTCAACTGAGACCCCTTCCTCTCTGGTGACTCTAGTTTGTGTCAAGTTGACACAGAAAATCAGTCAGCACAGCTGATTCCTTGTCAACTTGACATACTAATGCATCACAATTAAGCCACAACCCTTCATTTCTTATTCATCCCCAAGATCTCACAAGTAACTTTAGAAGTCCCACAATTTACAAAATCAAGCACATTCAAATCTTCAAGAGGGAACAATCAGGGCATCATCACAATCTGAACCAAGAAAAACCAAACTCCAACAGTATAAATGACTCAATGTCCAAAATTCTGCGATTCATTCATAATCTTCTGGACTCCTCCAAAGGGCTTGGGTCACTTCTCCAGCTCTGCTTTCTATGGCACACACAGCTTGTCTTCTAGGCTCCAGCTGGCTTTGCTCCACTGCTGCTGCAACTGAGCTGCACTTTCACCAATAGCCTCTCATAGGCTCTCCTCATGGCACCAAGTCTCAACTTCTTCGCATGACCCCTTCAGTCCTGGGCTTTCAACTGTCACCGAGGCTGCACCTTCACCAATGGTCTCTCCTTGCCTCTCCCAGTGCCAAGCCTCAGCTGTTCTCCATGACCCCTTCATGCCTTCAAAACTAGTACCACTTGGGTGACACTCATACATTACTAAGTCTGGCTGCCAGCATGAATTATAACCTTGGCCATCTCTGGAACACAGCTTCTCTGTGTTCTCAGGAAACACTTCACAGAAGATTTCACTTTAGTGATGCTGGTCTCTTCTTAATCACTACTAGCTTCTTAGCTCCAGCCAATCAGCATCAAGTACTCTAGCAAAGCAAATTTAGCTTTAGTAGTTCTGGTGTCTTATGAATCACAGCTAGGCAGAACAAAATCTTAATTCAAAGAGTGTCTTTAAACTTCTCTCTGAAACTTCACAAGCCAGGCCTCCATCCTCTGCACTGCTTTCAATATCCTTATCTTCCAAGCTTCCACAGAATATCCCACAGTGCTCCTTAACATTCAATGACTGTTTTAGCTCAAAGTTTTATAATTGGTATTGTTTTGTTTTGCTTTTACGAGACAGGGTCTCATTATGTAGCTCTGGCTGTCTCAGAATTCACTATGTAGACCAGGCTGGTGTCAAACTCACAGATATGCACCTGCCTCTGCCTTCCAAGTGCTGGAATCAAAGGCATGTGCCATTTCACCCAGCTTTTTATAATTTTTTTGTATTCTTTTATATGATTTATTTTTTATTATGAGAAATACTATGACCAAGTGGGTTGTTTTATTTAGTCCCTACTGTGAAAATAGCAAGTAAGATCACACAGCTAATAAATGACTGTAATACTGGGTGTGGTAGTGCATGTCTTTAATCCTAGCACAGGGGTGGGAGATGAGGGGTGGAGTAAGGGCAGAGGCAGGTGGATCTTTGAGTTCCAGACAGCCTGGTCTACAAAGTGAGTTCCTGGACAGCCAGGGCTACCCAGAGGAACTCACTCACTCTCTCTCTCAAAAAAAAAAAAAAAAAAGAAAAGAAAAAAAAAGACTATAATAGAATTTAAACTCAGTAACTCTGACTTTGGGATTTTTCTGTTTCCTTGTTTTGTTTTTTGAGACAAGTTCCTCCTACCCCAGCCCTCTCTTTGCTGAAATTACACTTGCCTGAAATGCCCTATATTTGTATTTCCCCATTGAACCATACTTCCTTTTCTTTGTAGCTTAATAATATGATAAAATTATAACTTCACTGGTTTTTTTTTTGCAAAAAGATTGTGTGTGTGTGTGTGTGTGTGTGTGTGTGTGTGTGTGTGTATGCGTGTGTGTGTATGCCATGATACACCTGTATTCAGAGGACAACTTGCAAGAGTTGTCCTACTCTTCCTACTCAAGTATTTAGATTTGGCTGCAAACACTTTGAGCCCTCCTCCTCACTTAATCTTGGATTAGACTAAAATTTTATATTCATAATATATCAAACTTTGAAGATTGAAAGAATGATAATACAGACTCATGTGTTAAAGGGATGTAGCTCAGTGTTAGAGCACTTGCTTAGCTTGTACCGGGCTCTAGGACACACATCTTTTTTGTTTGTTTTTTGGTTTTTTGAGACAGGGTTTCTCTGTAGCTTTGGTGCCTGTCCTGGCACTGGCTCTGGAGACCAGGCTGGCCTCGAACTCAGAGAGATCTGTCTGCCTCTGCCTCCCGAGTGCGCCACCAACTCCCTGCATAATTGTGATGATTTAAAATAGGAGTTGCTGTTTATAAAACAGGACAGGGAGGCACAGCTTCTCTGGAGGCTATGGCAAGAAGAATGCAGATTTGAGGAATGCCTCAAAGAAAAAGTTTAAAAAAAGAAAGAAAAAAGCTAGGACCATAGCTCAGTAGTAATTGCCTGGTGTATGCAAGGCCTTAGGTTCAGTTCCCAATATGAACACAGGGGCATTGTTTCTATGAAAATTATTGGAATGTTACTTAGCTAATTTTAGTTAACACAAACCTAGTCATCTGGGAAGAAGGAACTTGAGTTCAGGAATTGCCTCCTTCAGATTGACCTGTAGACAGTGTCATGCTTAGGCAGTTGGGCCTATGGTAACTGAATGTGAGCTTGGGAGGGAGCCAGTAAACAATATTCTTCTGTGCTTTCTGTTTCAAGTTCTTGCCTTGGCTTCCCTTAAAGATACACTATAAAGTGAAATAAACTTTTTCATTCCCAAGTTCCTTTTGGTCATGGTGTTTATCATTGCAACAGAAAGCTTAACCAGGACAAATGTGTTGCATAGTCTATTTGAGAGAGCAAATGGCATAAACACTTCGTTATTAAATTAGGTATTGATTAGAAAGTAAAGCAGGTGGGGCAGTGGTGGCACATCCCTTTAGTCCCAGCACTGGGGAGGCAGAAAATTAAAATTAAAGCAGTAAATATTTTTCCTTGCAAAGTATCTATTCAAGAGAGTCCTATCCCCAGAACTTTCATTTTCAGATTTTTGTAGTTGCTCCTTTAATGGTTAATATTAATTACCAACTTGAAAAGTCCTATTCTCTTAGGAGACGGGTCCCTGGACATGTCTGTTGAGGCATTATCTAGATGATGATAATTGAGGTACAAAGATTCACCCTTAATGTGGGTGGTGCCATTCTTCCATCTGGGGTCTGGTATTGAATCAAAAGGGGAGCTGAGCAGCAGAATTCCTACCTTCCTGCTTTCTATCTTTAGATGCAGTGTGACCAGCTTCTCAAGATTTTCCCACCATGATTTCCACAACATGGTGAACTGTACTTTTGAACTGTGAGCCAAAGTAAACCTTCCTTAAGTTTGCTTTTTGTCAGATATTTTGTCCTAAATAACTAATAAAACCTGGTTGTGGTAAACAAATTCCTCCTGTATTACTGTTGTTTCTTTGCATTACAAAAATATTTATTATTAATAGTGTTGTGAAGCATTTCCTGTTGGTATCACAGGAAGCCTATCTCTAGCTTTCTCTTCTGTGGTGCTGTGGTTAATCCCTGGGATGGATATTGTCAACTTGATCTATTTCCAATAAAGATCACTATCACTTTCTCTCTTTTGGCTTTCTATTTATGCATGCTCAAATTGATTAGCAATTTTTTTTTTTAGAAAAATTGAATAGAAGGAAGCCCTAGATTCTGATTTTTGAATGGGTAAGACTTTTATGCACTAGATCTCTTTTTATATAATTTTAAAATTTTATTTGTATTATTTTGAATTATATGTTTGTGTCTGTGTAGATACATGTCCCTGACTGAGTACAGAGGGCAAGGGTGTCAGATGCCCCTGGGGTTGGAGTTACAGGTGATGGTGAGTCACCTGTTGTGGGTACAGGGAATTGAACTTGGATCCTCTGGAAGAACAGTATATACTTTAATCACTGAACCATCTCTCCAGCCCTCTTTTATTTAGTTTTAAAAATTTCCCATTTGTCATCAGGACACAGGTTTAAGGTAATATGGGATATATTCCAAATATTTCAGTGCTCCATGAGATACCCTGCTTCTGGCTTCTAATAACTAGTACTGACCATGTCTTGTTTGTTAGTATAATTAATTTCCATTGCCTTTCTTGTCATTCTTCTCAGAAATGAGACATATTACTTATTCATATTTTGACATATAGTAGGTAGTGAATCAAATGTAGAATATGCTATGTTTTTTCTACTTTTGTTTATTTGCTTTTCGTTAGCTTAAATCTGGGAAAAGCACGGCATCACACAAATTCTGTGTCCAGAGACCTTTGCAGGAAGGTTGCTTTGGAATTTGGCACGAACCATGCCACAGTTTCCATGGACCCAAGTTCCCCAAATGACTCTGGTTTGATTCGGTTTGATTTCAGAAGTCATCGTGTTGTTTTTTATTTTATATGTATAAGCATATTTGTTGCTTAAAGAGAACTCAGTCTCATCTCAGGCATAAATACCTTTAGCTCTTTAAGAAGAGCTCTGTTCTGTCTTTGTGACATAGACCTTGATTATAGCCAGCAAAAGTGGCCTTGTACCACAGCCTTGTAGATATTTTCTTTTTAGAAGTCCTGTTCCTAGCAGGCCTCTGTAAGTGCCAAGATGGTGGAAAGACTATGCTGTTTTTATCATTTAAAAATAAACATCAAAATACCAGTGTTTTGTGATTATACATATTTCTTCACTGAAAATGTGTGTATCTGTGTGTGTGTAGTATATTTTTATACTAAGTTGCAGTTGTGAAATTGTATTTTAGATACTATATGTTAATGTATGCAGTCCTTATCTATCAGAAATTTTATAGTCTAGAGATGGCTCAGTAGGTAAAGATACCAAGCCTGACAGCCTGACTTTAGCCCCTGTGACCTACATAGTATATATACAGAGAGAGCAAACTTTCACAGGTTGTCCTCTTGACCTCTACGCACACAGTAGCATTCATGTGTACATACACACATGGGTAATTTAAGAAAAAAATTTTAATGTTTTACAAAGCTTTGTAGTTTAATTGGCAGGAGGAGACAGACTAAAATCATCTAGTGCTCAGTCATAGCTTACATTTAATCCCTCATGCATTTATTTGCCAAAGGCCTAAACTATGCAATATTAAGCTGAGTATTCCAAGAGGTGGTGTAAGAAGACTTGAATGAAGACTAGAATCAAATGCTTTGGAAAAGAAGATTCTAGCTCAGTCTTTATACTATGAAAGGCTGTGATAAAGCAGAAAGGACTGTTTCCTGGAGAAGAAACATTTTGTTTTACCAACAAGGCAACATTAACAGAGACAGAAAGTGTTTATTACAAAAACTTGGAAAGTGAGCCAGGGTTGGTGGCGCACGCCTTTAATCCCAGCACTCGGGAGGCAGAGGCAGGCGGATCTCTGTGAGGTCGAGGCCAGCCCGGGCTCCCGAGCGAGGGCCAGGATAGGCTCCAAAGCTACACCGAGATACCCTGTCTCGAAAAACCACAAAAAAAAAAAAAACTTGGAAAGTGAGCCAGGGTTGGTGGCGCACGCCTTTAATCCCAGCACTCGGGAGGCAGAGGCAGGCGGATCTCTGTGAGTGCGAGGCGAGCCTGGTCTCCAGAGCGAGTGCCAGGATAGGCTCCAAAATTACACAGAGATACCCTGTCTCGAAAAACCAAAAAAAAAAAAAAAACTTGGAAAGTGGTACTTGATGGTATGCTTTATGTATTCAAGGATGCTTACAATAGTTAGAGGCACCTATCGTTTTCCTTTGTAAAACAGCTTTTATGTCCTCAGGGTTTGTCCATGTCCTGTCCCCATGTCAGATGTCACCCCCTCTCCATCTTTTCCTTTTGTTAATCTGTGTAGTGTTCAATATTAGTCTTTTCCAAACTGCCTGATATTTTGAAATCAGCTTTGATCCACCTTCAAAATATTCTCTTCATAAGCCAGACATGGTAGTGTGTACCTGTGGTCCAAGAAACTGGGAGCCTGAAACAGGAAAATCAAGAATTTGACATTGCTCAGTGGGTAAAAACACTTGGCTACATAAGCCTGATGATCTGAGTTTGATCAGAAGGAGAGAATCAACTCCACAAAGTTGTCCTTTGATCTACACACACACACACACACCACCACTACCACCACCACCACCACCACCAATACCACCACCAAGAACAATAATAATTTTACAGCAAATTTGGACTGAATAGATCTATCAGTGGGTAAAGGCACTTGCTACCAAGCCCAGTGACCTGAATTCTCTCCTCAGGACCCATATGGATCGCCAGTTCCAAGTCAGTGGCTACATAGTGAGATTCTATCTCAGAAAATTTTTTCTCTTAAGATTAAGCTTCTGCAACTTGATGATTATTTACTCCTGTTTCTCTTTATTCCAGTTTTCTCCTCTATTAAAGGTCCTATTTTGTCATTTGTAGGTTTCTTCATTCTTTTGGAGTTAAGTCTAGGCAAATTACATAAATAAACATTCTTATCTTTATTAATGAAGAAACTAAAACAGCTCTTTCCAGAGTTACATGGATAGTTAGGGGAGAAGCTGGGAAATTCAACCTGATTCTTTTAAATCTGATGTTTATACTGGTTTTTAAGTTTGAGAGAGTCTTTAGTTTTTATTCATTAAGCTGTGGCACATACTACTTACAACACAGTGAGCAGTAACGTTCCCAGAGAGTTGAGAGAGCATGGAAGGAGCCCAGAGACTTCTGCTGATTCAGCTTTTAAACTCCCACATGCCATTGCATAAAAAGGGCAAGAAGGGCATCTTCAGTTTGGTCTGCAGAGTCAGATCCAGCCCACACAATCTAGTACTGAAACCAGTTGGGCTGGCTTTGGTAATTTCCATTCAGAATAAATGTAGGATGCATTAAGGAGTGTTTCTGAAACTTTCAGGACTCCAGAATAGAGTAGTTTCCTACAGGGAAGAGAATAGTTATGAGCCCATAGTTCCTCACTTCTGTCAAGCAAGTGCCTGGTGTCTAAGAGTGCTAGTGAAAAGCCATAGATTTTCTCGCCTACTTTTTCCCTTGTGCTGGGGATTGAATCCAAATCCTTACACATTTCCGTCAAACCTACACCCCTACTTATCCCCCAATTTCCTTAAGGATGAATTACTGAGATACTATTTCTGAGAGTTGTTACTTGCATATAATGGCACAATCATTACTATATTAAAGTATATAACATCTCTCTTCCTCAAAAGTTTCCTTATTTCTTTGGAGTAAACTTTTCCCTGCTTGCAGTGCCTGGGGATTATTGATATGTTTCCTTCCACAGGAAGGAAACATATTTTTGCCATTTAGAATGTCATGAAAATAGCCTTTAATTTTAGTTTCCTTCACTCAGCATAATATAATTGAAATTTATGCATGTTGTGTGTGTGTGTAGTTTATTCATTCTTATGGGTGAGTAGTTGGTAGTTTTTAATAGAAAAATATTATTGAACCAAGTAGTGGTGGCACATGCCTTTAGTCCCAGCACTCAGGAGGCAGAGGCAGAGGAAGAGGCAGACAGATCTCTGTGAGTTCGAGGTCAGCCTGGTCTACAAAGCTATACAGAGAAACCCTGACTAAAAAAAAAAAAGATATTATTGAAAAATATATAAAAAGATATTATTGAAAAAAAAATAGACGAAGGACAGTAAACATTAGAACTGAGGTCAAATACCCAAACATCCTTTTTGCTTGGGACAGACTTAGTTTATGCCAGTTGTCCTAACATAATTTTTCATAATACCTCTTCTCACTTTCAACAGTGTCTTGATTTGGATGGTAAATTATTTAATCTAAACTTGGCACAACAAGATGTGGTTATACTTCATATGCTTTCTCCTGTTGTTCAGTTTGCTTTCCAAAGCATTAAATCATACGTATTTATGTTTTATGTAAATACTATGAGTGTTAATAGCAATCATGTTTGTAATTTCACTCTAATCTTCACAACAGTATTTCTACTTTACATTTGAGAAAGTGAATTAAAAATAGAAAGTCCACCAGAAATCATTTATTTATTCCAAAGTAGTATAATTATATGCACCCCATCTCTCTCTCATA